ATGGTGTATCCAATTTACTAACCTTTTGCAGAAGGATGACAGAATAAGGATAAAAATGATGATTTAAGGGCTTGCACCCTAGATTGTCTGGAATTATGCTAAATATGATGTTTTATTATGTAATTTTCAGATACATATTTGAGGAGATCTTAAAAAACGCATCATTAAATGTAATTATTTCAAAATATCTACTTCAAATAAAAATAAATTAAAATGTAACATCATTGTTAAGGAATATATGCAGGAAATATACTTGATAATTGCTTCTACAAAAGATTTTATGTTTCATAATTTAATAACTTAATTGAAAATGGAAAACTCCTGAACATTTACATTTTTTCTATAAACATACTATCAATCTGCCTTTTGACCAATTTTCTGTTTTGTCGATTTTTAGAAGTGGCATAAAAGTACCCCTCTCCTTAACAGAGTCATAACCAATTATAATAAAATAATTTTTGTGGGGGTATTTTGAAAAGCAAGTTCTACTTTGTTACTTATAAGAAATAGTGTCTTGGTCCCTATAACCAGATATCTAACTATGGCAATGGAACTAAGAAATAATTTAAAGGAAGGAATTTCAGTTATCCTCTTAAATTTTAATGAAGTATTTCTCTGAAATCTATATATCTTAATGTGTCTTTATTTTAAATATGTTAACATTAATTTTTCATTTTCTCAAAAATTATTTAAGTATTTCTTGATATTTCTTAGTTTTTTATCTAATTCTCATTCTTAAATTCTTTGGAAGTTGTCTTCTATCCACATATGCTATTCTTTGTTTGATTCTAGGGGAAAATGAATCTAGCAAATTTATAACCAATAGTATTTTTAACCAGTGACCTTCAGAGTTTCAACTAATGATGTCTAATTTTAAAATTCCTTGTTTCTAACAGTTCATGCCAGTTCTAGAAACGTCTTTTATATACACACTGTAGGCTTTTCCCCAACATGTCTGTCTTTTCATAAAGCACCTGACTATATAGACACTCAAATTGTTGTTGAGTGAGAGAATACAATTTTAAGTCTGATTAAAAGTAAAAAAAATATTAAAAACCTCAGAAAACAGAACGATATCATAATGACTGATAATCTGGGCTGCTCTTCACTATCTAAATACCTCCCAGCTATAATATGCATAAAGAATGTGCATGCAAAATAGTTGTGCCGACTCTATTTCCAGTAAATATGGAAATGCATGAACACATTTAATAACTTCTGTTTATGAAAAAATATGAACTAAGAATGCATTGATTAGAATTATGTTATTTCAAAAAATGTATGGTCGCTTCTTAACAGAATTTGTCTTCACCATCATAATCCAGTCAGATGATAGAATCTTTATTCTGACAAGTTATACATTTAATATCCTTACTAGTTATGATGACAAATGAAATGTCACTTCAGATGTCCAGTTGCATGGCTTAAAAGATGTATTTTCTCTTTTGAGACATGTTAGCAAGTCATTCTAGTGAAGATTGATATATTATTTAGGAACTTAATCCAATAAGTGCGTTTTGAGTGGAGCTTAGTATTTTGATTAAAATAAATAATTTTACATATTTGAACAGTTCAGGTCATGTATAGTGGATTTCCTTGGGCTATGAGCCGCAGAATATTAGAGACTACTTTTCATTTGCCTTTGTAACTTTAGTGCCTAACACATAAGTAATTAAAAAAATGGTTATTAACAAAAATTAATGTTTGTTTTTAAGTCATTAAGTTTGGTTTTAGGTTAATGAGATTTAAGTTTTTTTTTAAAAAGTAGCATTGCAGTTATTTAAATAATAACCTGAATATACTTATGGATAATATACCTTGTTGACAAAAGAAACATTTAACATCATGATCATACATAACTAATTTTCAAGTACTTCATGAAGAATTTTACTTTTTTCCCATTAAACTCTTCACCAAGCAAGTAAAATAAAGGATTCCAGACATATAGAAACTTGCATTTTAGAGAAACAACTCCTGATATGAAATGGATTTATAAGATAAATGAACCCCAGCTAAGTGTAAAGCAGGAAGTGATTTTCAAACTCATAAGCCATTTTTCCTTCTCACAGGTTTATAAGCTAGTAGAACGAATAAAACACTTAATATGAACGTCCATTGTCAATACAAAATAAAATAGAAGTTTAAAAGACAGAGGCCAATTATGATTAGTTGATTAAGAAGTAATGTATGAAGGTAGTGCCTTTGGAGTTGAACTTGGGGAGGGGCTTTACTGCAGGCTTGGATAGAAGAACAGATTATTTCACATGGAGGAAGATTATAGAAATGATGCAGTGGTTTGATGATTTCCATGACAAAAAATAGTGCAATTTGATCATAGAATGTAAGTAAGACATAACTTTGAGAGTTTGTTGAGAAGCAGTGATGTTCTGGGCTCAGGTGGTTTCTGTAGAAATTCTAAGAAAAGTTAGCTAACAAGTGAAGTGAGTATTTATATTGCATGGTAGATTTCAGTGATAACTTATCAGCCAATCTGATTCTCTGCTTGCCTGCACATTGACAAATAAACACGTGATAAAATAGCAAATGGATGTGTGTATGTTTTCACTTTTTGATGACTTCAACTTCACATTATTATAATCCTTGATTTCCAGAAAAAAAAACTTCACAACTGACAATTGACTATCAAGAGTTAGTTTCCAAGTCTGTTTGTTTTCTCATGATCTACTTATGTATTTTTGGATGGAGAAAGAGAAAACATAAAACTATTATTAAAACAATGAATTTTCCAAACTGTTCTTTCATGTAGCTTTACGTATATATTACTTCCAGACACTTCTGCTTTTTATCAAGAAGAATATTAAAAGATTATATGAGAAAATGTGAATAAATATGAAAATCATCTATAGTCATTTGAGTTTTATACATGCATACAGTTATTTACCCACCACTTCATTGATACCATCAATATAAAGATATAGGAAATAACCCTGTATTTTCATAAGCCATGTACCATATGTACATACACAATGTTATGCTATACATTACTTCATTTGATTTCATAACTTGCTTTTCATTGCTTATACAAAGCAGATCATCTTTTTTATTTGGTTATGCTATTTTTCCTGTGTAACTAATGTAGTATGTTATCTTTGCCAACTCAGAATCATATGAGTATAAATCAACAACCCATGAAGAACTTTATTATTCAGACAGCATAATATGCTAAATGTTTACCTAAACCCACAGTCACCACATAAGAAAATAATAGCAAAATTAAGAGCTTAATATTTTTCTAAGTTTGAGTGATTCAACTGGCCTTTAGTTTCACTAGAAGTGAAGAAGATAAAATCATCACAAAAGAGGCTACAAATGTTTTGAAAATATTCCATTGTGAGACATGGATGGACCCATAACATTTGTTGTTAAATCTTACTATTGACAACAACCCTAAAACAAAGATTTCTTTGGCACATAAACATTGGCAAAAGAAATTCACTTGGTTAGAAAATAATTTACGTTATTCATTTACAAATTCAGATTCTTTTAGGTCTGAAACAAGAGGTCTATAATATTAAAAAAATACTACCATAGTGTTGTTTTTCCACCTGAATAAAAGAAATAAATTGTTAGTATGTCTTTTATCTTACAGGGAATTTAGTTATATCAAGCCCTCATATTAGTTCTCACTTTTTAAAGGTAATTTTTCAGATAAATTATATTGACAGAAATAATCAAAAATTTCATTAGAAACTTTTGATTACACAAAAATATATAGTCACGTTCATAGATGATTGAAGGTTTTCAAATACTGCGATCTGTTATTAAGTATCAACTCTAATGCTCATATAACATTGATTATTGATGATGAGTAGAATTGACCAAAGTGACGACAGTGAAGAATATTGAAATTTAATTTGTGTTATACCCGTGTTTGAGAGATTTAACTCACATTCCAGCTAATAATAGGAGATCACATAAATGCTAATACCTCTCTTTAAAGATAAGTACTTTACTTGTGTTCAAACTCCAGAAAGAATTAAAAATTTAGTATGACACCTTAAAATTTATTTCAGCAGTGTCCACCAACATAAACTCAGAACCTCAAATTTCAAGGTTATAGTCCCTGTAACAAATTAACTATTTTTCCCAAAAATTAGAATGTAGGCTATTCTCATGCTGCCAGAGTTGAAAAGTTTTCTTCTACTAGAGCACACAATAAAATTTCTTACTAACAGAAATTTAAAAAAAAAAAAAAAGATTTTGTAGTTATGGAAAAATTTCTTTGGTATTCTTTGCCCAATGCCAAAACTACCTTAGTGTGACCATCAAAGCCTGCAACTTATTTATGCATACATAAACTCTGACTTCAATGTTCTAAGTTACAGGCACGCACGCGCGCACGCGCACACGCGCACACACACACACACACACAGGGTAAAACATATCGTTAACAAATATTACTACTGAATTTCTTTTGCTGTTTCAGACTCAGAAAATTTTCAATTACATATAATACTTTAAAATTCTGGATAGTACATAAGAGTCTAGATATAAACTTTCTAAGTAGTCAGTTTCCCAAACCATTAAATGATATGCGATTAGATATGTCTTATTAGCATAATGAAGCAGCTGAGGCAGCACATACTGCATACATAAATGAATGAAATGAAAGCATGTTGGCAGTAATGGAAAATAATGATGGATTTTTACAAGATTAAGCCAACTGACATTTTATGAAAATTTCCATTTCCTGCCTTGAATTTTATCTAAACTGACAAAAACAAACACACATTTAGATTTCTCAGATTTCTCATGGGATGTACTCCTGGGTAGAATATCTGGAAAGAATTTCTGACAAATCAATCTGTCAAGTGCCATACTTTAATAATTACATGGGGATTTGTCAGGATGGACAAAAATGTGTGCTGGCCTTTTCTCCTTCCATAAAATTTAAAAAGTTGATAGAATTAGTGCTTACAAAATACAGTGCTAAATTATACAAAGTAAATTGTAACATTTTACCAGAAGATTAAAGATTGATGGGAGAAGGTAAAATTAAACACTCCCAAATTTTGATATTAGTTCTGGCACTGTCATTAAGACACATTTTACTCAATCATCTTTGTCATGTATTAAAGTCCTGGTCTTCAGGGCCCAAAAATTGTCTTGATGTAACAGAGACACCATGATTACCTGCCCCTCACCCCTCAGGAATCCCCTTCCCCTACACACTCCTCTAAGCCAGAATCAACAACTATTCCACAAATTAGGCATTTGTTTTATTAAGATTATTTTACAGTAACTGTACCAGAAGCATGGAACTCCTGCAGAATTCCAAGCATATGAGTTTTTCAAGAATATATTATGGAGTCTCTCTTTTGTTCAATTTATTTTTTCTTTCCCCATTGTCACTGATGGCTAGATTTTTTTTTTTTTTTTTTTGCCTTTCCTAGGAGGTATAATATCAAAGGATTAAATCACAGAAACTTGGAGTCATCTGTTTCTTTTAAACATAACTTTTAAAAGAGAACACACTGTCCTACCTGTGGTTAGAAAAGGGATGAACAACTACTTGGGGCAGGACAGGAGAGAATGAGAATTTCTTTAGCCACCACGTATGTATGAGCTTTTAAGGAAACCAAGGGCAACCCCATCTTTGGAAAAACACTCCATTAAGTGAATATTTACCTTAGGAAAGCTAGGTTACGGATTATTCATTCCTCAAGAAAAGTGCTGAAAAACTTGTGGGGGTGATTACTATTCAGCAAAGCAGCAGCTGTTATACAGTCAGGATTCTATCTCTGAAAAACAACAGTTAACACTGTGGTTGTATTTTTTCCGATGTATTGCTTGAAAACATTGTCAGAAAAAAGTACACTATTTGTTAATTAAGCTGACTTAAAACCTGATGTTTCACTTTATTGACTGTTATTATTGTTTCTTGAAACCTTGTTCTTGTTTATAGATTTTTTTTACTTGAGTTCAGAAATATTCCAAGTAGATCAGCCTAGCAAATTTAGAATTGTAAATTTAATCAGTAACTTCTAGGTATGTGTAGGAACATATTGCATGAGACAGTAATGTAATTGTGAGAAATGTCTACACACAAGCTTTCATATACCTTTATTCTGTCTTTAGAATTTGGAATGATGGGAGATCATACAATTAAAAGTCAGCGACCTCGATCTGTTCATGAAAAAAGGGTCCCTCAGGAACAAGCTGATGCTGCTAAATTTATGGCACAAACTGGTAATACGTTAGTTACATTTTTCTATTTATTGTTGTTAATTTAATGAAACCACTGCATGTTTTCATAATCTTTTGCTGCACATTTGTCAGTTTTTGGAGCTGATATTTTTTTGAGCCATTTTTTTTGTCACCAGTTAAAGTCCATAAATGAAGTAGCTGTGAGTTGAAAAGCACCAAAAAATATGTGTAAGATTTATTTTGCTTTTACTATGGGACATTTAGGATTTACATATTATTATTTACTTATGTTAATTAACTACTTAAATGTATCATTCAACTTTTAAAGAAAGTCAACAGTTATTTCATCAATAATTGATTGTTATAGGACTTTTCAGAATTAGAATTTAAATAGGACCTTAAATGATGAAATTTAGTTTAACAATAAGATGTTGGATTTTTAAAATGTCATGCATCATATAAATATTAATTGTTAAAATGTATGGAAGTTAGAAACTTTTTTCAGATTTCTTTTATTTGAAAAGAGAGTTTTGTTATATAAGCTAAATAATAAAAAAATGACAATCTTTATTAGTAAGCTATAATATACTCCAACTAATTATCAACAAAGATCACGTTCTGGTTTGTAAAATTTTTAAGTCTAAACTAATTAGATTTTTTTCAAATAACTCCCTCAAAAAAAAAGAAAAACATATATATACACAAGTAAATACATTAATATGTTGGTTCATCATAATAAATGGGCTTTAATTTCATCTGTTTACATTGCATGTAGTACACTCTTAGATGAAAATGTATTTAAAATGTGTTATGAACATTTTCAGCTGTCACCTTTATTTCAGGAAATGCAAACTAACAGTTTTATCTATGTCTTTATAAAGTTTTATTCACTCCAATCTGGATGATCTGTTTTACCATTAATACAGAAGTTTCGAGTACTTGATCAGCTTTTTGACATGACCTTGACTGATTTTGATGAAATTCTCTTGAAGAATGAGTATTTCCTTTAGTTTATATTTTCTTAAGATATTAATTCCGATCACTAGATTTGAATCTACAACTTAAAAAATGCAAACATTCTTAATGGATTGTGCTCTTTGGTAATTGGTGGTGAGTAGTAGAGTTTAACACCTTATTACAAGTAGGTCAAAGAGTTCTTCAGAACAGGAAGAATGTTTACAATAAATTCTACCTTAAGGACATATTTTTAGCTTTTTAAATATATATGTTGATCTAGATCCAGAAATGAAGGAAACTTGCTTACCCGGATTGCTTCTGGTGCAGCTTCTAATTTAACAAAAGGTGACATATTTTTACTATTTGCTTGTACAGGTCCGAAGGTGCATTGCCAGGGTCAGGTAAATTTTCAAATTATTAAACGTATTTTTCTCCCTTACATGGAGCGAAGCAGTCCCAGCCGCTGACCAGAGATTAGGGAATATTTGACTTCAAATAGAAGCTTAGGGCATGGTTTAACTATTCAGCCTCCTTTAGGTGCCATCTCACCGGGGCATTGCTGCAAGAGTAGAGACTTTCTTTCTGCAAAAGAAGCAACAGTCATTGGCTCACTGAAATTACTTAAAAGTGGGGTCATTTGGATGTGAAATGGAGAACCAGTGTTTTAAATTTCCAGTAATGTAGTAAAATTAGCTAATGCATACATATTCTGCAATTTGGCTAGGGCATTTTATAGAAATTCAGTTTTTGGATTTGCCTATGACATCAACCAAGAGAATTCAGTTTTCAACCACAACCTCTTTCACAAATTCAAATCACAAGGAACATTATGTTTTCTTAGGAAGAAATTACTAAATCCTGTTTTCATTTAACTGGTTTTTTTATAGCATTGTTTCATACCTAAAACATATTAACACATGATTTGGTAAAGTAGAGGAAACACTTGTCAAATAGATTTATGAGGAGCATTAAAACCACTTCCTTATATTGTTAACAATAATTCAGAAAAGGCAATGAACTCCAAAATTAAAAGTTCTGAAAATATTGACTTTCCTTGAATTGGTGCAAAATAAATCTTTATGATTTTATTTTAAACCATAAATGGTATAGGTTTAAATTTAAATTTAAATTACTACAACACTGATAAAAGACTAGAAAACTGTATTATTTTAAATAGTTTTAAAAATATGTAATTTGATATGAGGCAATTAAAAAGTTAAGAAGAGAGGAGCTGTTTATTTGCCTTAAATATTTTCTAAGCTATGCTTCCTTTAGGTGTTAAGGTAGTTAGTCTGAATACATACAACTAAGTGTCACACAGTCAAATCTTAGAAAATTGAGAAGTTTTTTGGTAAAACTTTCCTATTTGTCTCTCAAAACAGGAAATTTATGTGTGTTACATATAAATAATCATAAACAGTTACAGACATTAATGTGAGAATGAAGGAAAATGCAATAAAGGTAAAATTGAATGATGAAACACAATATAAAGTATTTTATATTAGTCATGAGGGAAAACAAAACAAATCCTCTAAGTCTTTAGAGTTAAGAATTATATCTCAAAATGAATAACCTGGCCTCTTCAACCAATATGATCAGTAAACCCTGTTTCTGAAAAGCTAGCTTTCTATAAAGTAATAACATGAATGGAAATCATTTTTAAAAGAGTAACATTTGGGAATATAGCATTACTGATCAAAATATCTGGATCATTTTGGTCAGTCCAATAACTGAGATAGGCTAGTTTAAATATAAATGAACAATGCTCAAATAGGACACAATTTATACTTATCACAATATATATTTCATTCAAGGGAAATGAAGTGATAAGATACAAATATTTAATATAGACATCTAAGTTAGATGCCAATAAGATGGCTTATGACAATTTAATTTTACTTTCTGAGACTTTTTAACATCATAGTCATCCAATGATCTTACAAACATGTTTAGAAAAGTGGTCCTGTATTCCCAGTGGGGAAAATAACTTATATTAGTAATATATATTATAGCATGTTATCTAAAAGAGAAATATAAAATTAAAAGATGTTTCTAGTATGATTTTAACATACTAGAAAATTTTATATTAATATTTTGTTTATAATTTAAAATGCACTCATATACATTATCTCATCTACACCTCACAAATACATTTTGAAGTAGATCTATTGCTCATTTTATTCAGAGTTTCAGAGAAATAAAGTGACTGTCTCAAGGTCACAGAGCTAATATTCAGTAGTTTTCCATCAAACACAGATCTTCTGACTTTAATTACAATGCTTTTCCAGTCCCTTTTATAATTTGTGTCAGGATAAAAAGCCTTAATAGTGCCTTAGATACTGAAGCATTCTACATGGTGTTTAATGTGCCTTCTCTGCTACAAGTTAAGGAGCTAGATTAGTTTGTGCTATCTCCAAAGACACACATATTAAAAATAGTATACTTTGTATTATACTTTACTATTTTAATGTCAGTTTAAAAAATTTATATATCTTTTTTTTTAAGTATATGAGCTATTTCTCACAGTGATCCAATGTGCTTGACTGGAATAGTCTTCACACCTTTTGTAATAAAGAAGTGGCAGCATGGAAGTCCTAACTATTTAGTGGAAATGTCACTTGAAACTATATGATATGAGATATAATGAGGTCATTTTGGTAGGTAGGCTGGTAATTAAGTGGCAAAATTTGATTCATAATTTAAAAGCCAGTATAGACTTTATTCATTTATTTATTTTGTTTTTGATCAACAAAATGAACCATCAATTTGCGTGAGTGAAGAAGGCCAGTTCTTAGCACTAATTATCAATCTCTTACATTCTACACATCACCGCTTAGCCTGTTCAACATCATTATAGTGTACATTCAGAAGGAACCTAGATTTTTAAATACTTGTACAGAAATACATTTAAAAGTAGATCTTGATACATCAGTATCAAAAACATTTGCTCAGTTTAATAAAAACATTTTTAATGCCATAATAGCAATGCAAGGGTAAGAGGAGGACTGCTTTTGTGGAAAAATCTAACTAATTTTATCCATAACCTTTTTCATTTTACTTATAAAATTCACATTGATCAAGGTTTTCTAGCTTTTAATTAATAACATATAACCCCAATATTTATACTTACTGTCATCGCAACACGAGTTGAACTATCAAAAGAAAAAGCTTTGCCTTATATTTTTCCTAACTACATGGAAATTTTTCTTTGCTAAATATATATGTTCATATATACATATATGTGTGGATATTTTTTAACCATTGCTATATTTTTGGGGTCTAGAATGATTTTTTATCTTCAGAGTATTCTTTATTGTAAATGAGACTATTATGAGTCATGTCTTTAAATATTATTCAAATGGTCATCCAGTAACGTTTCTAAGAAGTAGTTATATATAAATTGGTGATGGCAAAAAAGACTGAAACAGTCAAGGGTAATCTATAGAGTACTTTCAGGACAAACATTGATCCAACACCAAAAATAAGTCCCATTTAATGTAATACATCATCCCAGTTAACCACTGTCCGTGCCCTTATTATATATATCTAGTCATAAATGCATTAAAATCTATGCCTCTGGGTGCATAATGCAGATCAATATAAGAACAAATCCTCATAATGGTGCTACCCAAAGTGTGGTTGGTGGACCTGTGCTTATCTGTGAACTAGTTTTTATGGGCCTCTGTGGAAATAAAAAGTATATACCAGGATGTAAATTCAACTACATTACCAAGCACATGTTTAATTTTAGCTGACGTTTTGTTTTTGTTTGGAAAAAAAGAAATTCTCAGTGAAGAAATCAAGTTGAGTTACATTCTTGTTCAACTTCCTTCTGTCCTGGAGTACCAGTCTATGGTCCCGCTGTCTTGAGTAGCACTGCAAGTAATTTCTAATAATTTACTAACCCTTCAAAACAAGAAAGAAAAAAAGAAAGAAAAGATGGACAAATAGATTATTATATTATATTTTTTAATTCTATTCCAAAGGCAAATTCTAAACAGAATTTGTAAAGTATAAATTGCCCCTTGGTTTGTATAATCAGTGATACAAAGTATTCAGAAACACTTCCCACAACTAAATAATTAATTTAAATAGCTCCTGCTAGCAGGTAAATGCCCTAATTTTGTATTTGGGGAAAAGCAACTGCAAGTTTTCAAATCAGTGTTAAGAATCTATCCTGAACATGATGCCTGAATAGAATCAAAAGCCCACTGTGATGGTCTTAGAAATTCTTGACTTTACGTCCTTTTGGGACATGACTTTAGATAATAATGGAAACTAGACATAATTTTAGTGTGATATTTATTCCAAGAAAAGTAATTAATTCAAACATTCCTTGGCTTTTTAGGGCCCTATGTTGAATAAATTAATGTTAATCCCAGAGAAATATTCCTTAATTTTGAGTAAAACTCACTCCTCTATTCTAGATCATGAGAGAAATTGTGAGCAGAAGGCTTTTAAAACAAATTATCACAAAAAATATAGCTGTCACAGGATGAAAAAAGTAAGAATAGCACTGTGAATAAATTATACATAAATGTCAGTGTTTAACACAATAAAAATTAGATATGCCCAGACTCCCAGGCCTCCACCTCATCCAGCATTAGAAAGGAGACTATGCAATAAAGGATTAGGGAAGAATACATCAATATATTTCTGTGCACCAAAGCCAGAGTAAGTTTAGCAATACATTTTGCTCCCTCTCCCATCCAAAGTACAAAGCTTTAGATTGGCTTGAAGAGAATTCCTTCAACAATCATTCTTGTAAAATGCTGACTGGTCCCTTCATAGTACCCATGGCACAGTGTCTTTGTGAAGAGTAGCTTTGCTAAAAAGGTTATAGCAAACTTGGACCTTGCATCAGTGTAATATGTATCTCTCTTTAAATTTATTTTGCTCTGAAATGTTTTCTTGTACCTTTTGATGTCATGTCATATTTTTACATTTAAATTATTCTTTCATGTCGTAGTATCATGGTGTGATGCTTAGTAGATGACTGTTCAAAACAGTATTTCATGTTTATCTGTTGTCTTGCACACAGGTGAATCTGGTGTGGAAGAGTGGTCCCAGTGGAGCACATGCTCAGTTACTTGTGGTCAAGGGTCGCAGGTGCGAACCAGAACTTGTGTATCACCTTACGGGACACACTGCAGCGGCCCATTAAGAGAATCAAGGGTTTGCAATAACACTGCCCTCTGTCCAGGTAGTGTTAGCAGCAACTACAACTGTGGATGTTATTGAATTGTGTCATGCTACGCATTTGGAAAGATTTGTTATTTTCATATGAACTGGGTATAGACATTTTAATTAGAGTGGATAAGTTTAATTCTTTTTCAATTGTGAAGTTTTGTTATAAGTGTAATTATTTATGCTTTCAGAGCAGTCAAGAAATTACATAAGTGACTCTCCTACTCACAACAGCTAGAAACTTGAAATTTATCTATCTGCTTCTAAAAATGTTTTAAGGTTATAATAGCTTTCCTTATTTTGGGTGGTAAAAATGTCCAATCAAATGTTTGAAGAAAATGTGACTTACAGGCATACTGGAAATGTGATATGTACCCATTGCTAAAGGCAGTGGTTGATATAATCTTTAAAGCTGCCAGCTGCTTTCCTATCACTTATCTGACCCTATCAGAGAAAATAGTTCCCCTGACCAAAGGACTTTCTGTTCATTTATTTCACTCGGTTGGTTGTCTGATGACAGAGCCATCCACTGCATTGTAAATTTTAAAGTCATCGATGGGGGAAAAAATCTTTAATGCTAAATGACACACAACACGGTAGCTTACCCACGTAGGGTGAGATTTTCCATGTTGCATCAACATTTTGTTCTCATTTGAGACCTACATGCAAATCCCATAGGCATTTTGCCTTCTCAAATTACTAACTTTCATGTAACAGTAAGTAGTAAAAGGAATTTGGGCTTTCTTTCAAGAAGTCCAAAGTACATGATATTGTGAATCTCCAAGTTTATATATTCAAGTATTTGGTGGAAGGGTGGTAAAACTATCAACCACTGCAGCTGACCCTAGACTTGCATTCAGAGCCTTTCTGTAGGCGTCCAAAAGGAGGTGGGCATAAAGAAAGGGATTGGCTCTGCAGTAGCAGCTCTTCAGCTGTAAAAATTTTCAGATGAATCCCATTTCCAGAGATGGCTGATTTTGCAGTTGCTAAAGGCAAGAGTAGAGAGTGGGTGGCATGGGGGAAGGGCAGGGATAACCTTAGTTTCCCAGCTGAATAAGCAAGGGCAACCCATTAAAAGACGGTCTGGAGGAGTTATTGTTTAATGGGTACAGGGTTTTGATTTGCAAAATGAGTAAGTTCTGGAGCTCTGTTTTACAACAATGGGGATATATTTAACAGTACTGAATTGTACCCTTAAAAATAGTTTGGATGATAAATTTTCTGTTATGTATTTTTTATCACAATAAAAGGAAAGACAATCTGGAAGAAACAAAAGGGAAAGGAAGTGGTGGGCAGAATGTGGAGGAGAGGATGCACTGAGTTGGGAAATCCTTCTATAATGAAATTAGAAGATTCAAAGCAGCACATGAAGGTAGAAGTTAAAGCTAAACAGGGCAGCGAACTATCAGTAAGGGAAGACTGAAGTAGCAGGAAACAGCAATAACTCCCTCTGAAAATGAGAGAAATCAATGAGAGTCAGTAGGAATTAAGCTAGATAAGAAGGAACATCAAATGAAAAGAAAATTCAGAGGGAAAAATGCTTACGGAGGTCACAGAAGGGGATGTTAATGACAAAAGATGACAAAAATGGAGAGAGCAAACAAAGACTCTAGGTCTGTTAGTGGAGAGAAGGAAAACCTCCAAGAGCTGGAGGTTTTAGGAATTATAAAATTTCTAAATTTTATACATAAAATGGCCTCATGAGGAAACGTTTGTGGATTTTTAGGTGGGTGTGGGTATAGTGCATTGTCTCACACTTAAAGCAGGCCCGGGTTCCAGGATCAAATTTCCTTTCCTGAGCAATGAGAAAATTGTCAATAGAGAATTAAGCTGTGCTTGATATTTACATTTATCTTATCAGCATCCTTTTGAAAAGTCAACCTCCCTTCAGTATACAAGGATAGAGTCTAATGGCAAATGTATACCCAAGTGGAAGTCTGAGAGGGTGCTAAAATGTTCTCTACCATTCTCCATTCAGTGCTTACTCTCCAGCCACTCATTATGCAATTCATATGGTTGACATATGGAAACCCCAATCCTTCTGCCAGAGACCGCTGATTAATTTCTTCACTCGGCAAGGAGAGCATCTGTAGTGGGACCAGAATGCTCTCCCTTTCACTCAATGTTTCATGGTTAGAAAACTGAATAATATTCTGATTTTAATGTTGTTCCTCAATTTCTTAAACCTCCTACCACTATTCCTACTGAAGAAATACGTACTAATTATTAGTTCCCCTCTTCACCTTCATAAACTATAGGTTTGTCTTTTTAAATTTGGTTAAATAGGACTGATGATAAGAAATAATGTATCTTTTAACCATTGTTTTAGTTTATGTGTCGACTTTAAGAGAATGGAGAGTTTTGCTGATTTCTTTTTAATTTTCTAAAACTGAAGAATAATGTAATAACTTAATTATTTTAAAAATGTAGAATAAGTATTTCACTGTACAAAATTGGGATATCTTTTGGATGGTTACTGTATTTGTTATGAAATATTTTGTGTTAAATATTTGTTCAGTCACTTGCCATGCTGGTAAATGTGTACATTTTTGGACATAATATATTATAAAAACAGTAACCAAAAGTGAATTTAAAAACTTAAATAGTATCTAACCAGGGTAAATATCTTTCTAAAATAATGCTTTAAATTTCCAAAAAGAAAATTAGCTCAGAAATCAATAACCTAGTTGTTACACTGTGGATATTCAAGTGTGTTTGGCATTTAATTGATGAAAATGACACAAGGATCAAATGAATGTCAAAGCCACTTTCCATAAAATGTATTTAATGATATAATTTGAGCTCATATTTATTTGCACTACTAAAGCCTAATCAATAGAGTTATAAATTAGTTGTCTTTCACTGATATTATTCTAATTTCAAAAGGGTTTTCTTAGTTAAATTAAATAATAATGTGTTACTTCTAATATGTATCCTAAGAGGTCCAACCTTTTGCAAATTGTTGCTTTGACATTACAGCCTCTTCAAAAATTATGACTTAGAGCAGAAAATGATAGAGGTGGAAAGACAGTAAATTGAGGAAGTAGAGAGCTACATTGAATTGTGAATTCACTGTCCTGGTTTCTGACTTACAGTTTTATGATCTCTTCCAGGGTTTCTCAACCTCGGTACTGTTGACATTTTGACATGGATAGATCTTTGTTGTGGGAGGCTGGCCTGAGCATTCTTGGATGCCAGTAATATTCCTCCTTGCCCTGAGCTGTGAAAATCAAAAATGTCTCTAGACATTGCAAAATGTCCTCTGGGAGGCAAAATTGCCTCTGGTTGAGAGCCACTTGGTCTACTCCATATGTTTTCGAATCCTTTAGAAGTTTCTTTGGGCTATTCTTTTCTCTAAATGTCACAGTATCCACATCTATATATTTCTTAAGAAAAAAAGTCTTGTTGTATATCCCAATGTAAACTTTAAGGTAATTTGTACACTTATTTCAAAATCCAGTAGTAATATAATTTGTATACGGTATATTCCTCATTTCATCTTTAGATAACATAGCGTAGGGATGTGATACTATAGCTAATGTTTAAAGAAAGAAGAAAACTATAAAAATGGATTAGTTTACGTTTCTTGGCACATTTTTCAAATGGACTAGATTATTTACAGATTTTCATTCTTTACTGAAAGGTAAAAGAAATCTATATAACAATTTGCCACTAAAATAAAAATATCTTTATTCTTTAACATAAATCTAATAAATAGCATCTATAAAATTATATCTGTTATAATTTCCTACTAATTCAATAATTACTAAAATTATTAATAATTTTGTTTCCTTTTCAAATGAAAAAAGTATTTTTTGATTTTCTTAAGTGATGGAGGAGTCATGAAGTTTCACCATGGAACAATAAAGAGTGTTCAAAAGTAGGGAGTGACATACTTTACAAAGGATTCCAGGTTCATGATTTAAACTGTCAAGATTAATTAACATTTCTTTGAGATTAATAGAGAGAAATCTGCCAATATAGCAGCTTTTTTTTCCTGGGTTGTTCAATGAATACAGAACAGTGTGATTTGATTGAGGGGAAAATGAACAGAACCAACAATATGAATACAATAGTCTATTAACACTTTATAGATAATAGAGGAAGAGAAGATTGTTTTTAAATGGAGAAATATTGGTAATTAAAAATAAATGCAAAATCAATTAAAGATCTGTTTTATATGGCAAAATACATTCAGATGCAATATTTTGAAAATATTTTGCTATCATTGATCATATATACCTATATGTAAATATATGGATATGTGTATTTTTTTTTCTTAGAGTTATTTCTTGGAGTTTTTTCTTATAGATTCATTAGTTATTCTTATACCAATGGATACACAGTAGCTTTGGTTTTCCAAACTTAAATGAGAAAATGTAAACATATTAATTTCTTTCACTCTCTTACTCTTTTTTCTATGTGTTATTTTCAAAATATGTTTTCCAATAACTTTCACAGAAACTTGAATAATTTTTCACAGAGTATTACCCACATTTGGCTAACTCTTACAATACTTGAATATATTTTCACAACCCATTAGGGCAACTCAATAGCATAGGTAGAAGAGAATGGGGTGCCTCATAATTAAGATTTCATATATGTGCTTTAAAAGTAACAACTTGGTCAAAATATTCATGCAAAAGATTCTAGATATACTATATTTACTTGCATAACACCCCTGACACTTTATATGGATTCTGCTTACCCCTACCAATGTTGAGGAGAAAATGAACATCTTTTTATCAACCACTGTAAATTTCTTTTTTTTTTTTAATTTTTTTAATGTCTTATTCATTTCTAGGAGAGAGAGAGAGAGAGAGACAGCGTGAGCAGGGGAGGGTCAGAGAGAGAGGGAATCACAGACTCTGAAACAGGCTCCAGGCTCTGAGCTGCCAGTCAGCACAGAGCCCGACGCGGGGCTCGAACCCACGAGCCGCGAGATCATGACCTGAGTGAAAGTCGGACGCTTAACCGACTAAGCCACCCAGGCGCCCCCAACCATTGTAAATTTCTATTTCTCTTCCTTATTCTAGTGGGTGTCAGACCAAACATCTCTGCTGATGAATTTCTAAGAGCATGGTAGGACCAACATCAAGACAAGAGCTTTTGAACCAAAGAGCACATTATGCCCAGATTCTTTTTATTTGTATTATCCACAGAGTGTTTATTTATATTACCCACAGTAATATTTTTATAATATTGTATTTTCACAAATATTGAAAATTGAGAGGAGACTGTGGCAAAGAAAGGATCTAAACTGTGAAATCTAATAAACTTTATGCAAAAGATGCCAATATTGATTCACAGTGGCTATTATGGAGGAGCACAAATTATGTTCATATTTCTGATTAGTTTGAATATATTGTAATGGCATAATTGAAGTATTGGTATATGTATAATTATGTTAGGAATAATCCTAAGTAGATCATTTGCTTTCTCTAGAAATTTTTATTTATTAGGAAGATTTCCAGTACATCAAATTATTGGAAGAAGAAAGAGATCTTCATATTTGTCACTCACTTTAAAAGAGGGTAAAGAGGAGACTTATGTGAATAGATACAGTTTTTACAATTTCCCTCTTATTCAAAGACAGTGACTTTAAGCACACACATTTTTAAATGCAAAAATACATGTATTTTCTAAATGTGATGTTAAAATGCATAACATTAATTTTTCAGATTTTTCATTTTTTGACACCATCAAGATCATTAATACTGAAATTTTATAATTGTTGGAAGAATTAAGTTGGCCTTACATATTTAAATGCAAACTCAACTCTAGAAGATCATATTATAAGAAATTTAGTTTTCTATACTATCTTGTAAGTTTATATTACATTTATTTAAAAATAACTCATGACTATTCTACCATGAAGGAGAGAGGTGCATTTCCATTCAAAACTAAATTATTTAAATTTTATGACATAAATAACTGTTCAGATAAAGGAAAAAGCCATACAATTTTCCATTATTTTAATAAATTTTTGAATTACTCTTTGCATTTTTTGGCAAATAAGAATGTTAAGTCAACTGTACTTTTAAAATATTTTCATGCTTATCTGTTAGATGATGTTTTTTCTTAATAATTAAGATAAAAATTGTTATGACTTTATCTCTCTGCTTTTGTTGTTGAAGCTTCTTTGCTTTATTACAGTACATGGAGTTTGGGAGGAGTGGTCACCATGGAGTTTATGTTCATTTACATGTGGTCGAGGCCAAAGAACAAGAACAAGGTCGTGCACACCTCCTCAGTATGGAGGAAGGCCGTGTGAAGGACCTGAAACACATCATAAGCCCTGTAATATTGCTCTGTGCCCAGGTGAGCCTATTTTCTGCATTTAGTGAACTTTATAGTTGTGTGTTTTGTATATGGGCCTTGGTATACATATGAAATATTAAAAATACAACCTTTATTCAGTCACACTGGAAAATGTGCCCTTTGGTTACTGTTTCTTGCTTAAAACGAAGTACTTTCCTTGATTTACTCATATGCAATGGTTTATAATATTTCCTCAACTGAGCACCAAAGCTCCCTTTTATTTGGTTTCTATAGATATGTATATTAATTGTTTCCACTAAGATTTTATCTATACTTGGTCCTCCCCTCTCAGAAAATTATATAAGAGTCCCAAAGATTTGAGATTAGCTATTGTCTTGATACTACAACTGGAGAGACTGTCCTAGAGGCAATCCTTTTGATGTTATTGTCTCACACTCATTCAATTAAGGAGTGGGGATGTACCACTGATCATGTATAGAAGTGATACATACTTGCTAGGAAATCAGACTTTATAGATTCACTGCTGGATGCATAAGATGGTTAGCTCATAAATGACATATAACTTCATATGATTATGAAAAGTACATAGGCTGTTTATACAGTATATTTCTTATCTTAAATTTTTCTTTAGTTTAAAATGTTCCAATGCTATTTTATCTGAACTTGGTAATTTCACCCATAATTACAGAGAGAAGTCTTTAGAATCCTGTAATATATTTATTATGTGTTATAAAACTACAAAATAAATAAAAGACTGATCTTCAGTTCAAGGAGCTTGCAATTTATGAGAGAAAATACACACAAAGAAATGATAGAATCTCCCAGGACTATCCTACAAAAAGAGATAGACATGAGTAGCAAATGGCAAAGGCTAAGAAGAATGGCAAAGACCAATGTAAATAACCATTCATCTACTCTTTCAGAGACTTCTCAATTGGGCCATTCTGCCTGAAAGCAACATACTTGCTCCAGACATATTATTTAGCTCACATTCAGTCCCATTTGTACTCTCAATTCTCCAAGATAATATCCTATGTCATGAGGCAATGATTTAGTTCCTCTGGAAATTTTAAGTATCTAAAACATCTTGAACTGTGAAAAGCCACCCAAAATGTAGATATACAAGTCATCTAATAAGTTTACTTGTTCCCTTTGACTACAGAGAAATAGTTTTAGATTCCTATATGAGGAATATACATTTAAAGATGTAATAGTTATTTTTACTCCTAGAATTTTATGAACTCTATAAATTATTAATATAACTCATACAAGTCAATGTGTATGTAATTATGAATATTAAGGAGTCAAAATTATGATCCTCTGCAGATCACTCCCAGAAAATCTATTTTTGAAGTCAGTTCTGTTATTGCTATCTCTCTATAAACATACAGACAAGCATTTGGACACACACAAATATATTTACAAACTGCCATTTTTCTAAAGATTTGGGCCAGCTTATACAAATTAGATATTTTTTTAAACTGCTGAGCTATGACATTTACAGAGAGTCAATTATAACTCATTGCTATTTGTCCATGAATGTGGAAAAAAAGGTAATGTGGGCAAATGAAAAATAATAGCTAACTATAGAATATTTTTTAATATATTAGTTTTTATTACATTTTTTACCCCAGCTAACCCTAGAGGTAGTAAGAAAAAATGACACTAATCAGTTAAAATGTTATCAACCATGTTTCCTATAGTCTACTTTCCATGAACTTTTCTAGAAGTAAAATATTTGGGAGTCAGTAAATAGGGATGCTAAGTTTTTAGAAATCAGATATGAAAACATAATTTTTAAGTGGATTTAGTTGTTGCTTTATCACTGAAGTAGTAACCACATGTGTTTTCAAGCTAGTTGAGTTTTAGCAGTATTATTCTGTCATTGGAATCACTCTAATTAGGTCTTTCTTTTGAGAAGGTTTTTAAATTTTGGAAGTTATGCTTATATTTTTGTAAATCTGGCCTAGCTCATATTCTCTTATAGGTTAGCATTATGGATCCATATTGGGTACTTAATAAATTTATTATGTGTTGTTTCTGATTCCTATTATTTCTATTCTTCAATTTAGTTATATCTTAAAAGATGTAAAACTCTTACCATGTTGTATCCCAGTTTCCTTACTATTTCAAAGGGAATTTTAATGGCTATGATTAGAAAAAAAGATTTTATACTCTACTGAAAATTTTGACATTAGGCCTTTGAAATATGTAAGACTTATTTGGCACAAACGCTTGTAAGCTCCTTAGAACTGTCTTATAGCTAAACTTAGGTGCCTTCACTATATATAAAAGCATCATCAAGTGTTGACAAGATGCAAGATATTACTGAGAAGAATAATCTCAAGAAATTTGCAATCTCTTCAGAGGATATAGACCTCTTCAGAGGATACAGACATAAGCATGTGAAAAGTTGAATGCAGTTCTGAAAAACACATATAAATACTCCACTTCAATGAAAGGTGATTATAGACTGTGATTATAGGTAGTGTATCAGGAATGAAGAAAGTGGGCCAAGACCTACATCTGGTTCCCCTTGGCTAGACCAGTTGTCAGGTAAAGACCAGAAGAGAACAAAAGAAACAATTGAAATGACAAATTGGGTCTCTGCTCACCATCTCTCTAAAATCTGACCATGTGTCTTGTGGTAATTGGCAGTGATATTTGTGTGGGATCATGTCACAACAGCATTCCAGCATCATATTTTTAAGAAATACATATAAGCACTATAATGAAGTAGATACTATGATGTGTATTGTTCACATCAAGTAATGAATTATATTTCATTTATGCAAATTTTGATATCAGCTTAAAAGGGAATGACATCCTATTTTCCTCAGGTACTCTCCATAGTCAATGTCCAACTTTCTCCCACTTCTTTTGAGGTGAGGGAAAACTATCTGCCTGGGATCCATATAGGGAGAGAAGAAAGAAAGGAATAGGTAGATATGACATATCCTATTGTGAGTTACCAGTTACTGACTTGTGTATGATGTCTAAGAACAGATACTAATGTTAGCGGAGGGAGGTAAGCAAGAGGCATAGAGCAACAAAAGGGATTCACTATGACTCATTCATTGGCTATAAAATAATGTGACCCCATTTTCCCTCCTTTTCACATCTATACTAATAATTAAATGTGATATTATGGAAGGGTATGTGTATGTACGTGTATGTCCAATGGTCTTTGGTCTATTTCTCTTATCTGACAAAACTTAGAACTTCTGGCTGTGTAACCTATGTTTTTTTTTCTTTTCTCTGATTTTTCATTGCAGTCCCTAATTGAGCATCAAATTCAGAGTAGTACTCATTAGTGTATATGAGGAAATTTGCTTTCATTGCCTATCTATGTCTCTGCAACTTTGTACCGGCTGTATCCAATACATTACTATTGAATGGATTTTCTTGATATAGACATATCTAAACTTTTAGTTTTCATTGCCCCTAAAAATTATAGGACATCGTCTGGGTCTATTTAATAATACATTGATGTAATGTAGTAGAACTTAGACTTTCACAAGAGAACACATATTTAAATTTAGGTGTCACCTTTTAATATCTGTGTTATTCCCCGGATTTTAGTCTCTTCGTCTTCGTCTGTAAAATGGGAACAATAGTACACCCACTTCACAGCACTGTGAGAGGACTTTGTGAGATGCTGTAAAGGAGCTAACTTGGTAAACAACAAATGGTGTATAAGTATCAGAATTATTATTATGTCAGTGCCCTATATATAGTCAAAGTCCATTTGGATGACACTTGTACTTGGACAAGTTGAACTTGTTAGTCTTGGCATTGAAGGAAAATTAACATAGGGAATTGTGAGTCATGTCAGTTAGAGGGACTTAGAAAGACTTCTTAAGGGTTTGGGCCTGTTTGAGATGATTTCAAGGAAGGTTTTAGGACGTGGGACTTTACTCTGGATTTTAGAATATCAGGAAGAGGAAGGGGATTCTATTATTGGGTATCTTAACAAGTAATCCAGGAGGAAGGAAAGCTTCCTGTAATTGGTGAAGAAGTGGTAGTCAGTAATATTAGCTGAGAGAAGAGAGTCTCTAAAACTTTGTGGTTTGCACTGTGACCATGTTTCATTTTATCTCACGTTATCACAGTCTCAGAGTGACCTTGTCTACTGTTAATGTTCTCTGTACTGATTTTAGATCCAATAGGAGATAACACAGACTCGCTATGAGCACCAAGCAAGCTGCTAGTCTAGCTGTAAGTGTCAGAACAGTTACTGGATGTCACCTTGTTGGTGATTCCCCCACTAGTGTGATTTAATCACTTTACATGCTTCTGTTTTTAATGTTTTTGATTTTTATTATTATTCAAATGGAGAAAGAAAAGTGTTAGACTTGATGAAATGTTCATATTTTCTAGGTAGGCTCTCCATTAAAATTATATAGATGTATATGTCCAAAATAAAATTATAGCCTTCTCCAAAATTAAGTTTTTAGGGAAAAATAAAATCTTAAATTCTTAGTCCAAAGCCTCAAGGTTTATAGTTATTTTCTTTATACTATATTACTTTGGAGTAATATTTAAAATATTTCCCTCTGTCAGTAGTTGAAGATGTCAGGTTTGGTCTTCTTTGTTTCAGTTTTGACAGTTCTCATTTTGATTTAATTCGTGTAGTAAAGTCCAAATAATAAAGAGGAGGGTATAAGTAATAATTGACAGATTGAAGACTAAAAGAAATGAAAGAATTATTGACAAATTAGTTTTCATTTATAGGCTGAAATATATATAAGTACATTGAATTAAATGATTCAGTGGTAAACACAGTGGTCTGGAATTCATAAGACATGGATTAAGATTCAATCCCAATCTTTAATTATAAATATTTACTTAAGCAATGTATTCATCTTCTCTTATTTGTAAAATGGAGCCAGCATTCATTACCCCGCTGTATTAGAGGATTGTTAAATGATTAAAGTTAGTTGATAGAATCTTGAAAAGTATAAAACAATTTAAAGTGGAGGATATTTATGATGATTTTTATGATAGTATTACTTTAAAAGTAAATGATTTAAAAGAAA